CTCAAAGCAGGCCCCCTGAGTGCTGAAACCAAAAAAGAAACTCGTCATCCGAGAGCCAAACTGACCGTTCTATGCAATTACAGAGCATAACAATAGTTTCTGACTCCTCCTGCAGTACCATCATCCAAAACTCGGTGACCGTGTTGTCGAGAGGTCCCTTGAAGTGACTGCACTTACTTTATCTATCAGGGTGCTATTGCAGCTGTGCAGAGAGACTCCGTACCTGCGTACAGATGAATCGCTTGTCTGATACTGGCGTTCCTACGTAGTTCGCATGGATGTAATCGGTTGGGGCACCGGGCCACTTTAACACGATTCGATGTTGGTCCTGACACGGCACATCCTGGTATCTGAAATGGTCGACTAATTGCAAACGCTCAGTGCAGAAAGTTGTATGGCAAGAACTACTTCACCTATTTCTGCCAGCTTCGTGATTGTTTTTGAAAGCTTCCCAAGTCATATCCGGAAGGGTGTACTTGGCTAGTGCTCGATATTCTGCTCTTAATGCCTCGACACCCATATCCAGTGCCCGTTGAACCCATTTTGCTACCTGGACTCGCATCTCTCAAACATTTGTCCATTCACAGGCCAAAGTCAATCGATGCTTACCACTTGTTGCCCACCCTTTGCACACTGTGCAACTTGTGGTACTTGCGGTTGTGGTTGGGTTCCTTCCTGGAATGTAACAGCTTGAACGGAAAAAATTCTGTGGACAAGAAACGCTGTTGCTCGATGTCTGATGTCGCACAGAAGCGCGATCTAGTACGTTGTCTAATACCTGAGAAGGTAGATGACGTAACTTTGACGTCAAACAACGCATGGCTAAAAATTTGTCCCGGAATTTCATTGACAATGCGATACAGTATTGTTAATATCATCGCAATTAGTTGGGGCAGTGGAAGGAGGGGCGGAATGAGTTCGCTTCTGGATGCGTTCATACTTTGCGTCAGCGTACGCCAGCGTTTTCAGCGTTTCGAGCGTAAGTCAGCGTGCAGAGCTTTTCGACCGACTAAGGAAAGCAAAGATGTCGATCCAGCGTACACTAGCGTACGGCAGAGCGCCCACCAGGAGTGGAGAGCATGATCAAGCATTCGTCGCGGAATTTGCCACAGAAGGGGGGGGGGCGTATTCGCCCCCTCGGAAGGGGAAGGTCGTAGCTGCATAGGTCAGCACTCAGCACAGCAGGCGACGGCAGCTTGCACAATGGTTTATGCGTTCGGAAATGAAAAAGAGTGCATGGCGCATTCCATGCAGTTTTGATTAACACCGTTGCGGTGCAGCTCCCATTCATCTTATGGGAGAATATGTACGGAAGGCCTACCGAGCTTCCTAAACGGAAACATGGGTATGGGCATAATAGGGAAAGATCTCATACTGCAGCTTAGGCTGACTTCCAGAGAGAAGTCGGCGACGGATGACCTTTCGCCTTACACTTTAGTCAAGCTACAGCGAACATATTGCGCCCATTGAAGATAGAGATTCTTGTAATTCCAAGGCGATGTAGAATTTCTACTCGATGTCTGAACGAAGATATGTTCTTCGAAAGGTGAGGAACTCTCATTCGCGCGAAATCCTCCGCGTTATTTTTATCACTCTCCGCGACGGGCGAATTTTTGCTGCAGTTGAGTTACAGCAGTGTTTTGGCACTCATTCGGAGGAGACATCCTTATAGTTTCAGTGCCATGTAGATCTCCATTCTACGTTATGTTACATCACAGCACACATGCTGCCTAATGATGCCAACTGGCAAAAGTACCGGGAAGCCGGGAATACGGCAAAGAACTTCGTGGCTGCTGCAAAACCCGCTCATTTAACACGTTGAAGACATTCTGAGCCATCGGTGGCTCATAAGCGAGCTCATAAGCGCTTTCTCGCAAAACGCGATTGTCGTCGACGTCTTAAGAAACAGGAGACCCGCAGCGGTGAGCCACACCTGTGTCGACTTGCCAAATCTCGTAACCGCCACAGCAAAGGCACAAAATGTTTTTTGAAAGAGAGTATTGTATTGAAAGACTACATCGAACAGCCGGGTATTCAGGAGAATGGTAGACGAAGCTCTTCAACCAAATCGTCTCAAGGAGGTGTCTGAGAGCTGGCTGTACAGCACGTCAATTCCGATTTGGAGGAGGAAGGGCAGACGGGCGGACTGCTTGAACTATCGTCCATATCGCCTCTCTCGCACAGCATGAAGATCTTTGAGCGAATAGCTGACGATCATATCTGCGACTGGTTCAACTTTCCGTCAACTAGTATGGCTTCGTAAGCGGCTGCAGCACCATTGGCGCCATACACTAGTCTTTTTTTCCAGGAACGAAAAAAAGCTTTTCTTCGTGAAAAGCAAAATTCCGTACATGTGGCTTCTCTACACTTGGAAAGGACATTTGATCGAGTTTCGTGTGAAGCCCGTGAGGTATATGGTACGCCCTGCGATAGTACAGCTTTCACGGAGAGCTAAGAAAATGAGTGCACAGTCTTTACTAACCCAGACAGCCAACTGCGGGCGGGTGCAGGTAGCTCGACTGAGTTTCCCATCAGTCGGGGTACATCAGACTCGACGTTTCCCCCAATTTCCTTGTCGTCGTGGATTCCATTTGACGTTTGCAGAAAGAAGTCTCCTTGGACTTGACATCTTTGTCTTCTTTGCGCTAATGATGTGATATTTGCTTGCGGAGGCAAAAGCTCGCTCACAGGTGCAAGCTTGGGCCGATCGGCGAAGTTTGGGCTCAGGTTGAACGTCAAAAAGGCCGAGTACTGACAACAGACCCAAGCGAGACAGGCTCCATGAAGATCCATGGCACGAGCTCACTCGTACTGAAACGTTCGAAGTATCTCAGCATCAGCGACTACGCGCGATGGTGCTCTGAACTCAGAAGTGAGCGCACGTGTGAGTGCAGTGTGGTCGAAATAGCGATCTATGTGTGGTAATCTTCGCGACAAAAGGTTCCAGAGCGCCTTCAGTCGAAGATCTACATAAGTGTCGCCCTATACGGTGCTGAGTACTGGCCCGCGACTAAGAAAGTCAAATACGTCTCAATGTCATGGAATCGAGATTGTTGCGCGAGCGTTACACATTCATTATAATTCACTAAGTATGTCAGTGTGTGTATGCTTGTGTACACACTGACATACTCTGTCTGTCTGTCACGAAATTCATAGCGCCGGTCCCAGTAGCAGTGAGACATTGATTTCAAGAAGTGATGTAGGCGGTGTGACGGGAACACTATTGGTGGGTGACAGAAGTGATATCAGTTGATAAGATCCGATAAGAGGCGTTAGAAGGGGAGGTCACCATATTCATAACGCGGGTGACAGCAACAGTGGGACCTTGGTTTTGATAAGTGATATAAGGTTTGGGATGGGAACATTATTTGCGGCTAGAAGGGGAGGGTCACCAAATTCGTAACGCAGGTTACAGCAGCAGTGGGTTCGTGGTCCTCAGGAGTGATATAGGTGGGACGGGAACAGTAATGACGGGTGACAAGCGATACCAGCAGATATAAGATACTATCAAGGGTTCTAGAGTGGGAGACTCACCGAAACTCTCAGAAGTTATCTCAGTTGTATCAGACTCTTAGTAGTGTGAAACACACCCATGCCTCCCCTCCTATCAAAAGTAACCTTAGATGCGACCGCTAAAGTAAGCGGATTCCAGATGTATGATAGTTGTTCATAAGGTGCCGTTATCAGTAGCTTACCATGATTATCAACAACCTTAGTGAGGGCCATTCTGAGCCTCGCAGTGCTGAGTGCGGGGCGCACCATAGAGCGAGGCACTCTCGGGGTGAGCAATGATAAAAGCGGTAGGTTGCTTCAGCGGCTGATTCACCAAGCTGCTTGAGTTTCCGTGTATGTCAAGAGGTATTTTTGGTACGAACGCAAAGAAAAGAACGGTAAAGCAAAGGTTAAAGTAGGTGAAGGTGTAAAGTAAGTAAAGGAAAGCACAGGTTTGAGGGCTCCTAGGAGGCGCCAGAAGAAAGATTATCGAAATTCATAGTGCGCGGCGCAGCAAGTATAGAGCATTCTTTTCCAGTATGCGATACAGCAGGAAAAAAGAGAGGGTAGGGAAAGGATGTCAGAAAGAGAGAACAGGAAATGATGACTGAAAATGACAACCTTTTTCACCGCTTACAACCGCATTACGATTGCTCCATAGTAACTCAGTTACCATTCTTTTATGCCATCTCTCCTTTTATCGGTAGTGGCAAGTTACTAGACCGCTGAAAGAAGTGCACTGCAATCAAATGGTCGATGTTAACAGAGCTGTGATAACTGACGTATTAGTGACGACGTTTATTTAGTATAGGATCGCTAAAGGGACATCTCTGGATACAGCGGCCGTTATCGAGATTGATGGAGAGTCAACAATGGGCTGAGAATCCTTTTTTCGCAATCAGTAACGCTACAGTGTGCGCTTGAAACCGTCTCTACAATTCAACTGTGACATTCAGTTCTTCGAAGGGATACTCGAGGAGACCGCAGCTTGGAGAAGGACACTGCTCAATATCGAAAAAGAAACCGTAATGAGAAGAGACAGATGTTTTTTCGAGTGATAACTGCCATAAAGTTGCTAGCAGTTTTCGATCTTTTCTTCTGGAGAAAGCCCTGATTATTTATAGCCTGATTTTATAAAAGCTCTGATTTAATTTAATTAGAAGGCAGCGGTCAGTCACCGTGAGAGCATCACAACTACCTAGAACAGCAGTCTCGTCCAATTTATCCCTTACTTTGCTCCTTTCTTTGATGAGCTAAGAAGTAGGGCTTTGAAGCATCCGCGAGCCAGGGCTTACAGGAGGAGGAGAGCTCGGCATCAGCCGGGCTCTCCTCCTA